TCACCTCATACCCTTCTAAGATTCCTTGCAGCTACAAAATCCAGTGATGCCAAGAAATGGGCATGGAGTGGGCTTACAGGAAACTGAGGAATTCCTGGAAGCCTGGTCAAGGTAGAAATCCACTCAGACAATGAACAAGTATATGTTTAAAAAATAAAATTTAATGGATTTCTTTTGTTTTTACATTGTTTACATTTCCCAGTGCTTTCCAGAGAGAGAGACATCCCCTAGAATGAAGAATTTTTAAAAAGGTGAAAAAACACAACCAGCCAACAGATTGGAAAAGTCTCATATTATTTCCACAGTTATAGTGGTCTCCCGTTCTCTCCTCGCCTCCACAAAGAAGCAGGTGAGGGGCCTTCTCGATTTTTTTCTTCTTTGGGGCCAATTTCGCAACATTCAGTTTCATTGTTCTTTTCATTTTCATTGTGTATATTCCTTTCTTGTTCTACTCACTTCACAATGCATCAGTTCAGAAAAGTCTTCCCATGCCTCTCTGTACCCTCACAGTCATTGTTTCTTACAGAACAATATATCCGGTTACATTCTTGTGCAACGGCTTGTCCAGCCGTCCCCTAGAATGGATGTCGGGCATCTACTTTGTTTCCATGTTTTTCCTACTACTAAAAGGGCTGCTGTAAATATTTTGCTATGTATAGGACCTTTCTTTTTGTCATTGACCTCCTTTGAGGTATATGCCTAGCAGTTTCTTCCCATAATTCCAAACGGCTTCTCTGCTGAGCAAATATTTTTAGGGAGATCAGCCAGGACAGCTCAGCTGAGGCCCCAGGCAGTTGGGTGTACTCTGGGCGCCCTATAAATTTGGGAGTGCCCCTGGTCTCTATTGCCCTCAAAATAAAATGTAAAACTCTGTTTGTCTTTTGATGACAGTCAATCTGACTTTGTCCAAACATGCCTTCCCAGCTTACCACCCATTACAACCTTTCATGAACTCTACATTCTAGCTAAACCACCCAAATTGCTTTTCTCATACATATTTCCCAACTCCACACCTTTGCACAGTGGCCCCTCCCCCCCATATGCCCTCTCTTCTTATCTCTGTTGCTTAGAATACCTGGCTTCCTCCAAAGCTCAGTTCAATGGCCATCTCTTACGGGAAGCTGGTCTAGATCAAGCCCAGATGCTAGCTCTCTACTCTGGAAAATTACTTTGTAATTATTTTGTGAGTTTTTTTTTGTGGACATGTTGCATGTTTTTGCCCCCCTCCCCCATAATGTAAGTTCTTTGAGGGCAGGGACTCTTGTTTTATGTTCCTATCAACTTTCTCATTGCCCTGAGATATTAGTTAATCACCAAGCATTTATTAAGCACCTACTAAGTGCCAAGTCCAGTGTTAAGCACTAGCTATACAAAGACCAAGATGGAACAGGTCCTGGCTTGGGACATTTTCTTTCTTTCTTTCTTTTTTTCTTATAAATTTATTTATTTTTAGTTTTCAACATTTACTTCCACAAAATTTTGAATTCCATATTTTCACCCCATCTTGCCCCTCCCCCACCCCAAGATGACATGCATTCTGAATACCCCTTCCCCTAGTCTGCCCTCCCTTTTATCTCTCCCCCCATTCTCTTATCCCCTTCCCCTTCTATTTTCCTGTAGGGCAGGATAGATTTCTGTACTTCATTTCCTGTATTTCTTATTTCCCACTTGCATGTGGAAACATTTTTTTTTCAAACATGTGTTTTTAAAACTTTGGGTTCCAAATGTTCTCCCTTCCTTCCATTCCACCCACCCTCATTGAAAAGGCAAGCAAGTCAATACAGGGAATACATGTACAATTATGCAAAACACTTCCATAGTAGACATGTTGTGAAAAACTCACTCTATTTCCCTTAATCCTATCCTGCCCCTCATTTATTCTATTCTTTCTTTTGACCCTGTCCCTCCTCAGAAGTATTCTTCTGATTACCCCTTTCCCAATCTGCCCTTCTCTCTATCATCCCCTGCTCTCTTGTCCCCTTCCTCCCCTATTTTCCTGTAGGGTAAGACAGATTTCCATACCCAATTGAGTGTGTATGTTATTCCCTCCTTAAGCCAAATCCCATGAGAATAAGATTCCCTCATTTCCTCTCACCTTCCCCTGTTTCCCCTCCACTGTCAAGATAATGTACCCCATTCTACCTCTCCCTTTCTCCTTCTCCTAGTATAATCCTCTTTCACCCCTTAATTTTATTCTCCAGATATCACCCCTTCATCTTCAACTCACCTGTGCCCTATCTATCTATCTATCTATCTATCTATCTATCTATCTATCTATCTATCTATCTATCTATCTATCTATCTTCTATCCATACAGACATACATATAATTTTTCCCCTTCCACTACCCTAATACTGACAGAGGTCTCATGAGTTATAAATATCATCTTTCCATGCAGGAATGTAAACAGTTCAGCCTTAATAAGTCTCTTATGATTTCTCTTTCCTGTTTACCTCTTCATGTTCCACTTGAGTCCTGTATTTGAAAGTCAAATTTTCTATTCAGCTCTGGTCTTTTCATCAAGAATGCTTGAAAGTCCTCTATTTCACTGAATGACCATTTTTTCCCCTGAAGGATTATACTCAGTTTTGCTGGGTAGGTGATTCTTGGTTGTAATCCTATCTCCTTTGCCCGCAGGAATATCATATTCCATGCCCTGTGGTCCCTTAATGTAGAAGCTGCTAAATCTTGTGTTATCCTGATTGTGTTTCCACCATACTTGAATTGTTTCTTTCTGGCTGCTTGCAATATTTTCTCCTTGACCTGGGAACTCTGGAATTTGGCTACAATATTCCTAGGAGTTTTCCTTTGGGGATCTCTTTCAGGGGAGATCAGTGGATTCTTTCAATTTCTATTTTGCCCTCTGGTTCTAAAATATCAGGGCAGTTTTCCTTGATAATTTCTTGAAAGATGATGTCTAGGCTCTTTTTTTGATCATGGCTTTCAGATAGTCCAATAATTTTTAAATTCTCTCTCCTGGATCTATTTTCCAGGTCAGTTGTTTTTCCAATGAGATATTTCACATTGTTTTCTAATTTTTCATTCTTTTGGATTTGTTCTACTGTGTCATGATTTCTCATAAAGTCACTATCTTCCAATTGCTCTATTCTAATTTTTAAGGAAGTATTTTCTTCAGTAAGCTTTTGGACTTCCTTTTCCATTTGGCCAATTTTGCTTTTTAGGGCATTCTTCTCCTCATTGGCTTTTTGGACCTCTTTTGCCATTTGGGTTAGGCTATTTTTTAAGGTGTTATTTTCTTCAGTATTTTTCTGGGTCTCCTTTAGCAAGCTGTTGGCTTGTTTTTCATGATTTTCTTGCATCACTTTCATTTCTCTTCCCAGTTTTTCCTCTACTTCTCTTACTTGCTTCTCAAAATCCCTTTTGAGCTCTTCCAAGGCCTGGGACTGATTCATATTTTTCTTGGAGGCTTTGGATGTAGGAGCTTTGACTTTGTTGTCCTCTTCTGGTTGTATGTTTTGATCTTCTTTGTCACCAAAGTAATATAATATAGTCTGACTCTTTTTGTGAGGTTTGCTCATGATCCCAGCCAACTACTTGAGTTTTAAGCTCTTTGTTAAGGTAAAAGTCTGCTTCCAAGGTGCAGAATGTACTGTGGCTTGGGACATTATCATAAATCCTTCTCCCTGCTCTCTCCACTAAGGTCACACAGGGAGTGACAAGAGCTGGACTAGGGACCCAGCAGTTGATTGATGTGAAGTCCAGTGTTCTCTCTCCTACCCTAGGCTGGCTCTGAGCCAAGGGGCTGGGCTCTTTACAGAGGGCTAAATCAAGCTCTGTTGAGTGAACTAGACCTTCGCTGGTCTGAAATCCAATAGGAATGCCAGATGTTTTACAGGGCAGAGAACTCCACTCCCACCCCTCCTTCCCACTCTCTTAAAGTTTGTGTGGTCTCTCCTCTGGCTGCTAGCCCTAGTTCGGCCACCCAGGTGTCAGCTGGGTGAAGGATGAACTACTCAGAAAATCTCAAAGATAGAAGAGTCCTCAGAGACCAGCTTGTCCAATACAAGTCTACAAAACAATCCTCTCTTCAATGTCTCCCTCCCACAAGAGGGTCCTCCAGCTTCTGCTTGGAGATTACCTGGATGTGGAGGAGCATGCCATCTCCTGGGGCAGCCCGCCCCACCCTGGCACAGCTCTCAGACTTTCCTACATCAGCGGTGCTCCCATTGCCCACCCCTTTAACTCTCTGTCCTGCTCCCCGGAACCTAGGGGAAGTAATTGAACCTGAAGTCCTCTTCCGATACTTTAAAACAGTTAACAAGCCCTCCCCTCCCCTCTGCAATCTTCTCTTCCCTAGGTCATTCAAGCAGCTCTTGAATTCCCCTGGCCTCCCTGCAGAAAGGCTGGGGGTGAGGAGGGCAGCAGAAAGGCAAGGTTAGTGCCAGGGGCCTATGACTGTCTAATACGGTGCTGCTGGATGGATTTCCGAGGTGCCACCTTAAGAAAAGTGGAGTTTTCTTTTCTCAGGAAGTGAGGGGGTTGGTCCCTGTCTGGGAGCCAGTTGGCTGGAAGCTGCCTGGGGACCCTGAGAGCTAGAGCCCTCTCGGGTGAAGGGGACTGACAGGTGGGTCCGGCGCCCGTCCCTCTGTCCCTCCCTCTTCCGGGGGGCTGGCTACTTCAGCCGGCAGCGGCCCGACCCCTGGTGGGGGGAATGCTCCCATGAAGGCTGCCCTCGGCCAGACTTGCCCGGTGCCCAGCCACTGTGCCCAGCTGGCGGCGCTGCCAAGTGGTTCCACGCCGGACCGGGCAGAAGTTTGGCTCTTCCCCGGTTCGGCGGGTCTGGGCGACCCTATTGGAACGAGGCCAGAAGAGGGAGCTGCGGGGGTGGAGAAGGGGCTATCCCGGACAGGGAGGGCGCTCAGGACAGTCCGTCTTCGTTGGGGGCGGGGGTGGGGGTGGGGAGGAGGTTGGCACTGGGAGGGAAGGGGTTGAGAGAAGGTGAAGGAGGAAGGGTCGGGGGGGCGGGGTGGAGCGGAGAGGACGGCTTCATTTAACGCTCGGAGTCGGGAACGCCACTCAGGTGACGGGAATATCACTGAAGGGGGTCAGCTACCCGAGCTCCCAGTCTAACGGTCCTACCTACGGTCTGCGAGCACGGGGCAGCCCAGAAGAGAGAATGCAGAACATTGGGACCCAGCTCCGGCGGGTAGGGACCATGTTGGGGTGTGAGGACGTCCTGAATGGCGGGAGGAAGGGGCTTGTGGCTGCAGCTGGGGCACCGGGAGGAAGACGACAAAGCCGCTCCGGCCTCAATTTCTTCCTTTGTCAAATGAGGGAACTGGATTACATGACCTCTAAGGTCTCCCTTCCACTTCTAAATGTGATCTGCCGAAGTTCAGCAAAGCTCTCACCTGAGCTCGGTCCCTCTCCTTTTCCCTCGCGGGTGCTGGGGGAGGCGGGAAGCGCAGAATCAAAGTGTTGGGCTTAAGACCCCCCAGACCAAAGAACTGCCAATCTTGCCCTTCTCTCTCGACCCCCTACGCCGGTGTTTGCTGGGCTGTCTAGCGGTCAGAGGGGGAGGGGGCGGCGGGGGAAAGGTCCCTCTAGCTTTGTTTCTTTGCGGCTGGAATTCCGAGGGTGTCCGGGTTCTGCTCCCAGAGTTCTGCAGAGTCTCAATTTCACCTCGTAGCTCTGTGCAATTAATTCCTCGGATGTTTGGCGCCTGTGTGCGAGTGAGATGTATTCTCAGCAGCGGCGGGACAGCTTTGCTGTGCTTGGGGGCAAGGGAGCCCAGGGGTTTGGGGGACGAACCGGGGAAGCAGATCCCTCTATGAGGGGCTTAATTAATGCTCACTGATGGACAGACTTAAGGAGCCCTAGACTTTGGAGTCAGAGGACCTGGGTTAGAATCCTGTCACTACCTACTGCTTCCTACCCGTGTGACTTTGAGCCAATAAATCCCTTTCCCTTTTTTTTATCTTGGTTTCATCCTCCGTAAAATGTGAATGTTGAACTAGATCGAGGGTGAGGAACCTTCGGCCCTTTGACTGAATCCAAACTTCACAGAACAAATCCTTTTATTTAGGAGGTTTGTTCTATGAAGTTTGAATTCAGTCAAAGGGCCGCACTTGAGGACCTAGAGGGCCACAAGTGGCCTCGAGGGCTGCAGGTTCCCTACCCCTAGACTAGATGGTCTTTTAAAATTCTTTCCATCTCCAAATCTATGAGTTTGATAGTACTCTGACCTTGGGCAAGTCACTTAATCTCCCTAGACCTCAGTTTCCTCATTTGTAAAATGGAGGGTTGGACTGGATGACCACTAAGATCTCTTCCAGCTTCTGGTCTCTGACCCTATGAACTTGGGACTAAGGACTATGGGAGAAAACCTACCAAGGTGACCTCTTCTGACTGTCACCAAGAGAAACCCTGCAACCAGGAATTTGGAGCCAAGATTAGATACTAGAGGACTGAACCTGACCCTGGGAAACCTGTAAAGAGGCAGGTCCTGTGACTGCATCTAAGGAAAACTTCCTGAGGGACCCAGCTCTCCCACAATGGAACCTCAGGAGGTAGGGAAAATTCAGGCTTGATTTTAAAGAAGAACTTCTTAATGATGGGAGACTTCCTAAAGTGGAACTCAGTGCCTCCTGGAGGTGGTGGGTTCCTTTTCTGTGGAGTCTTCAGACAGAGGCTGCATGTCCACTCCTGCCATAGAGGGGATGCTTTTTCTGTGAGGGAATGGGCTCCATAGGTGCTAGGTTCCCTTCCAACTCACGAGATTCTATGATTCTGTGAAAGGATGAGTTTGCGGTCACTGGAAGCCTGCAATCAGAGTATAAATGGTTGGCGATGTTCATGGGCTGGATTCCTGTCCACATAAGGGTTGCTTCTGAGCAGGAGTGGCCTTTGAGGTCCCTTCAATAATAATTTAAATATATCATATAATACCCTAAAGTTTAGAAAGCATTGTCTCTGATATTCAAACACTTTCCAAAACTTGGCTTGCTTACTCTAGCTTCCACTCGGGTCTTTGGTCCAGACCTGGGATGGCATCATGTGCCAATTCCTGTAGCAGAACCATCTTCTGCTGATACAGGATAACAACTCTTTGGTAGTTTCTGGCCTTCTAGAGTTGCCTGGAACCTTGGGAGGGATGCAGGAGAAAGGTCAGTGAACCTGGAGTCTGATGTTTTTCCTATGTCGCTTTTCTTTTGAGAATGCCCAAACACTTGGCCTAAATTTGGAAGGGTTTTGCCATTCCTTTGCCCCATAAGTTTCTTCTGGCCCCTTCTAGTCCACAATGCTGGATTCTTTCTGTGCTTAAGAATTTCCACTACTAAATCAGTGTCCAGGCTCTTTTCAGTGACGGTGACTACAATCCCTCTCCACCACAGTGGTTAGTTTCAAGAGTTGGTGTGGCCAAAAACAATTAGTCATCTGGCAGACCGCCTTCTGGGCTATGTATCTCCAAACTCAGCTCAGCAGATCTTTGGGAGATGATCTCACTGCCAGGACCGTGCTGAAAGCCCTTTGAGATGGAAGACTCAAGGCATCTGGTCAGATGATGCTGTTTTGCTAGCCTTCAAGAGTGAGGACTCACTTCTGCATCCCAAGAGGTACTGGAGAAGGACCTGAGTGCAGGTATAAGCTGCAATATGAGTGACAAATTGAGCAGAAAAGGTCTTCGCTCTAGGTCTGTTTCCTCATCTGCCCACTGAGAGAGTAAGCTGCAAGGGGGGCCAATCACAAGGCCAGGCTGCTTCACATACTATCTTAGTCTTGTTTCTTATGGTTCTCTTGGGTGCCATCTGCACTCTGACTGGATGGACCAGGCAGCACCCTGTGCTCGTTCACTGGCCTTGGTCCTCCATCCTCCTATCTGCCCTGGGCCAGGAATGCCATCTCTTCTCACCTCTGCTTGCTGAATCCCTACCTGTTCTCCAAAAGTACAAATGCCACATCCTGGAAGCCTACCCCGATGGCCTCACTCTCTCTCCTCCCTCCTCTTTGGTAAAGACCTGAAGACCTCAAAGATCATTTGTAGCCTTCAACTACACTAAGCAGGTAATAGAAGGATACCTTCTATCTACTCTTTTTTCTCTTTTTTTAATAAAAATATTTTATTTGTTTTAATCAGCTAAGATCCACCTTCTTGCCCTCAGCCTCTCACCCAGTTGGGAATGTAAGAAAACCAAAACAGACAGCTTTAATTACTTTGTCTAAAAACTACCTGTTCATATCCTTTGGCCATTTATCAATTGGGGAATGCCTTGTACTCTTATTAATTTGACTCAGTTCTCTATATATTTAAGAAATGAGGCTTTCAGCAGAGATACTTGCTGTAAAAATGTTTCCCCAGCTTTTTGCTTTCCTTCTAATCTGGGTTGCATTGGTTTTGTTTGTGAAAAGAACTTTTTTTTTTAAAATTAGAGGCAATTGGAGTTAAGTGACTTGCCCAGAGTGACACAGCTAGTGAGTGTTATATGTCTGAGGCTTGATTTGAACTCAGGTCCTCCTGACTCCAGGGCCAGTGCTCTATCCACTGAGCCACCTAGCTGCCCTGTTGCGCGTGGGGGGGGGAAGGGAGGGAGAGAACAACATTTTAATTTATTATAACCAAAACTATCCATTTCGCATCTTGTAATTCTCTCTCTCTCTTGTTTGGTTACAACTTCTTGCCTTGTCCATAGATCTGACATTTGCCCATGGTATCACCCTTTCTATCTCAATTATGTACCCATTTTGACCTTACCTTGGTATATGGTATAAGATGTTGGTCTGTACTTAGTTTCTGCTAAACTGCTTTTTAGTTTTCTCAGTAGTTTCATCAAATGGTGAGCTCTTGTCCCCAAAGCTTGGATTTTGGGGTTTGTCAAAGACTAGATTACTATGATCATTTACTGCTGTGTATTGTGTACCTAGTCTATTCCACTGGTGTGCCATTCTATTTTCTAAGCCAGAACCAGATTGTTTTGATGATTGCTGCCATGTAATACAGTTTGAGAGCCAGTACTGCTGGGCCACCTTCATTCACATTGAAAAAAATTGATTCCCTTGATATTCTTGACCTTTTTGTCTTTCCAGATGAATTTTGTTATTTTTTCTAGCTCTATAAAATAATTCTTTGGCAGTTTGATTGGTACGGCACTGAATAAGTAAATTAGGTAGAATTGTCATTTTTATTATATTGGCCCGACCTACCCATGAGCAATTGATATTTTTCCAGTGGTTTAGATCTGACTTTATTTGTCTGAAAAGCAATCAACTCTGCCTTTTAAGAGATGATGAGAGGGGCAGGAAGGTGACGCAATGGACCTGCCCTGGATTCAAGAGGACCTGAGTTCAAATCCGATCTCAGATACATATAACACTTACTAGCTGTGTAACCCTGGGCAAGTCACTTAACCCCATTGCCTAGCCAAAAAAAAAGAGAGAGATGGTGAGAGACTCAGATTGACAATCTGCTTTGAAAACCTTAAGACACGAGAGAAATGTCAGTTATTGGTGTTGTTACAGAAGGTGAGGCTTGATAAGGACAAAGGAGAGGAGATAAAGTCCTTTGGAGGCAGGTACAGAAAGCATCTCATTCAACCTGAAAGGGACTTTGGTCCTCCCCTTTGCCCTCATTACATCCTCCCTTCTCTAGCAATTAGTAATAAAGACAACTTACATTTGTCGGGCACTGGGCAGGAGCTCTATCACAGTTTACTGAATGGAGGTTGCCCGGCATGAGGTTTCTTGTAATCCAAAGCTTTTCTCATCGGATTTAAGTCCCAGTTTGGCCTGGGACTCAAGTCCCTGGACTTCCCTTCTCCTGTCAAGAGGGCACACATTCATTAATCGTTTCCTGAGACACGAGGAAAGGCAAAAGCAGTGGTCTCTGTCCTCTAGGAGCCCACAGTCAGATAGGGCCAATGACATGCAAACGAGGTACAAACAAGAGAGAGGCAGAATACATTGGAGGGGATTTTTAGCCTTGCCCCAGTTTGCTCCTATGTAAAATAATCAGGTCAGACAAGGCGATCTGTAATCAGTCAATGAGCGTTTTTTAAGCACCTTGTAAGTACCAGGCACTATGCTATGTCCTGGGGATACAGACAAAAGTCCCTGCCTTCTGAGGTGGAGGAGGTAACAGGGATATACATGGGTATATACAAAAGAGATGTGGGGGGAGGCTTTAGCAGCTAGGGGAATTCACAAAGGTCTTTTACTTCTGGTGAGCTGGTGAGCCTTTAAAATGAGGATTTTATAGCTGGAGATGACTTCCCTGCTCAATTTCCAGTGGAGAATCAGAGAGGTAAAGGGTATGATCTTTGTAGTGGCAGGGCAATGGGTGCCAAAATTTTACCTGAGGGTCCAAGGCTGGGCTTCTCCCGAGGCCTCACCCCAGCCCAACAGAACTGTCAGGCCAGGCCAGGTCAGTTTCCCTGGTGGGATAGCCCATTCCCGGGTAAGGAGCTCTGCACCTGGCATCAGAAAACTCAGTTCAAATCCCAGCTCTGCTGATGATTGCACTGTTGGTGTTACCTGCCTCCCTGGGCTACGGTCAGGAAGGGTGGTCCAGGAAGACCGTCGCTCCAGTTCCCTCATTTACAAATGAAAGCCCACAGATGGGGAAGGGACTTTCCCAACGTGAGCTCACAGTGAGTGGTAGCTTACAGAGGAGCCTTGGTGAGGGACCTTTCCAGGCATGATTAGCAAGACATTTTGTTCCCATAGAGTTCAAGAGTACTCCTTTCCCTGGCAGGGAAAACCACACATTTTGGGGGCCTTGAGCTGTTCTTTGCAGAAAAGTAAGGCCAGCGGGTGTCCCATCCCTGGGACCAAGTTTTTGTTCAGTGGGCAAAGTGGGAAGTGCTTCTGGGTGTGCAGTCCTGTGCTCTCTTTTGGTAGCTGGGCTAAGACTTGGGTAGAATACAAAATACCATTGTCTGCCCAAGTGACTTCTTCAAGGTCACATGGACAGGAAATGTCAGAGCCAGGATTAGAACCCCAGTATCCCCTGATGCCATCCAGGGCTTCATCTACTGTACCAGGCAGCACCATTGTGAGTGGTTGTGTATTATTAACCTTGTTTGACAGATGAGGAAACTGAGGAAGAGCAATGAATCTAACAGGAGCTTTCTGATTCCAGTTCAGGGCTCTATTAGATCCCACAAGATTGAGAGATAGACAGAGAGACAGACACAGCATGACAGACAGAAAGAATCAGAGACAGAGGGGAATAGGAAGAGAAGAGAGACAGAGAGAATGAGAGACAGAGTGTGTGTGTGTGTGTGTGTGTGTGTGAGTGTGTGTGTGTGTATATGTATGTGTGTGTGTGTGTGTGTGTGTGAGTGTGTGTTAGGGGGCGGGGGGACCTGGTGAGGACACCCTGTTCAATTGCTTTCTCCTATCCCCTTCTTCCTGCCCCCACCTCCCTATACTGCAGTGATGAAATCATAGAAAGCACATGTAACAGACACATCTTTGTGTTCACGTCTTTAAGGAAATGCAAAGGATTTTCACTCTGTGGTCTCTTTAAGAGGCGTGACCTTCTCTTTGATGGAATTAGAAGAGGGGCTTGCCATTGGCTAGCCAAGGATTATGGACACAGGGGATAGCTTTTAAAAATCCAGTGTGGCAGCTTTAGACCTCCCAGGAAGTATCCAGGCTCTGAGTGGCCTGTCTCTTGGCAATCTGAAGAGACACTCTCTGTGGAAAAAGGCCCCAGCTCTTGAGAGAGGAATCATTCTTTCCCTTCCTTTTTGAGAGAAGATCTCTCTCTCCTTGCTCCCCCTACCCCGATTGGTCATGGCCTCTTGCAGTACAGCTAGGAGATATTACACCTAGCAAAGAGCACCAAGTCAGCAGTGGCAGCCCTGAGTAGAGTGACCCCTGGCAACAGAGAAGAGAGCCAGCTACGCATTCAAACAAGAGTGGGTCCTTAAATTTGCAATGCAGCATCTTTACATAGCTGCAGCTAGACATGGGCTAGGGACTCTTTCAAAGGTGACAGTCTCTATCCCTTAGCAGACAGAGTGGAGCTGGTTACTCTGGAAACAAATGTAAATTTGATTTTTCTCCCACACTTAGCTAAGCTCAGGAAAGAGGCAGGAACCAGGACTTCTACTCAAATAGAAGACAGCAGAAACAAGTGAAGATTCAGCCGATGGGGAAATGGATGAGTAGGGGATAAATGCCCTGAAAAGGGTCTGCCACTTATGAGTGCTTATAGTTGAGGTTGATTACACCACCTCATAACTGTCTCCTCCTTCTACTTTGTCATGAAACGAGAGAGAATACAAGGAAGTCAAAGATAACCCAATGACGGGGGTCTTTGGCTGACCAGGAAGGCCAGCTAAGGCTACCCTCCTCATCAGCTCTCTCAGCCATAGTAGAATCAGTAGACTGGACAAGAACTTCCCCCCTCTGGGCCTCAGTTTCCCCATCTGAAAAAAAGAGGGGATTGATGGCCCTGAAGGACTTTCCATTTCTAAATCTATAAACCTCTCTGGGCCCAAGTTTCTACACTCATGCTGTTGTTGTGTAGACCCATTGAGGTACAGGATGCGGGATGCTTTGTCTAAATGTTCACCAAGCACATGGTGGACATTGAAAAAACAGTGGTTAAACTGAATGAAATAAGACTACATATAGGCTAGTCCTGAGCTTGGAGTTGGGTTCAAATCTCCCCTATGACACTGGGAGAAGTCATTTAACCTCAAAGCATTCCCAAAGACAATGGTTCCCAATGGCTGTTGTTCTCCAATCCCCTTTCAACAACAACAAACAATGTGTTATGGACCCTCAGGGTAATTTAATATGCTACTCATAATGCTCTGCAATTATTCACTGCTTAAGGTGCCATGAAAATGTTTTTTAGTGTGAACCTCTTGTTCAGCCATCATAAACCGAACCAGTGAATGGGAACCATGGCCCTAGGAGTCATTTATTCACTAAGTCACATAGATGGTCACGTGATACTCACTGGTTGGAACATGGAGTTCCCTAGACTGATGTCGTAGACCCTTCCCATAGGGCAGAGCTTGGAGAAATGAATGGGACTTGCTAAGAAGCCAAAAAAGCTTGATGTCAGATAGATAAAGATAGATAGATGAGACATTTATTAAGCCCTTATTCTGTGCCGGGCACTGAGTCAGGAAACACTCCCTAGCTATGAGTGGAAGGGGCCGCTCAAGACTTGGTGGGCTCTCTCTCACTGGAGTTCTCCTGGAAAAGGCCGGATAATCCTTGTCAAGAATGTCATAGAAGGGATCCTCTGTGAGTTTGGGGTGGGGTGAGGTCCCATCCAACTCAGAGATTCCAACGTCCTCTAAATTGAATTAAGATCCAGGGATCATCAGTCTAGAGTTGGAGGGGACCTCAGAAGCCATCCAGCTCCCTCCCCCTCAGTGCAGACACTGAGGCCCAGAGGGGAAATGACCACACAGGGCCTCCCTCTGATTTCAGAGCTTGGGCTTCCCACTGTCTCCAAATGCCACAATTACGGGTAAATTGATGAACCCTAAGTGCTTCAGATGTCCCTGGCCTAGAGGCTGAATGCTGGACCTTCACTGGGAGATTTCTCCTCTATTACCCTCCCCTCTTCTTTCCTCTCCCTCTCAACCCAAAGCAAAGTAAACACTGACTTGGCCCCTGGGGTCTCTGGGATGGGGCAGTTGTGGACCAGGGAGTGAGATGTTGTCTTTGTGGGCTGGGAACTCTGTGTACCTTTCTGGACTTCAGTTCTGACCTGGGTGGGGGACTTCCAACTGGGAGCCTGGGGCCCCTTTGTTCTAGCCGGAAGCTGGGCTGTTTATTCTGCTTTCTCTGAAGAGCTTTGTAGGGCTGTGGGCAGAATGTCAGTTGTGGTTAGAACTGGCTGCATGTGAATGAATGAATCACCGGGGACCATGGGAGAGCCCTGCCCCACTCCCCTTCCTCTTCCTCATCCTTCCCTTTCTCAGGATCCAGTACTCAGCTCCCTTCATACTCAGAGCTTCTAACTGATGTTAATCCAGCACTTTAATCTTAGAAATAATCCTGTGAGGTGGGTCATCCCCATTTTACAGAAGAGGAAACATCCAAAGTGACGAGGTGAAGTCTGGTACTGCCAGCACAGTGGGGATCATTAGGTGAGAGGGACAGTGAATGGGATCCTGCACATGGAGGCGAGTGGACCTGGGTTTGAAACCTACCTTTGATCCTCAGCAGCTGGGGAGCCTGGACCAAGCCACTGAACTCGTCTGGGTCTTGGCTTCCTTATCTGTAAAACGATGACCCCTAAGTTCTCATCCAGTTCTGAATCCGGGCCCCTATGTAAGATTTGGGTTCAAATTCAAAAGCCTCTAATATTTGCTCTATGATCTCGGGTGAGTCAGTCTCTGGACTTGTCTCCTCATGGGTAAAATCAGTCCATCAACAAATACTTACTGTGTGCCAGGCACTGGGCCAAATGCTGGGGATGCAAAGAAAGGCCCAAACCAATGATGGTCCCTACCCTCAGGGAGCTCACAATCTAATGCTGACAATAGTTGTGGAGATGCAAGGTCAATTCAGGGTTAAGGGAGGTAATCTCAAAGGGAAGGTCCCAGCGTCTGGGGGTCTGCAAAGGGCTTCCAGAAGAAGTGGGATTTCAAGGCCTTGGATACGATGATTTCTAAGGGCCCTTCCAACTCTAAATCTTACTATCCTATAAGATTGGATGGTTCAGGGCAAAACCACCCCTGGATAGATTGTTTCCACCATAGATCTTGGGTAAATAAATGCTTCTTGTGCAAGGCCCAACCCTGTGGGGAGACACAGAAGGAATCATGATGGTAGAAGCCCAGGGGTGGGCTGGTGGGGAACCCCACGGCAAAGCTCCGGGGCAGGGGTCACCGAGAGAAGGATGTGCAGGGCGGTAGACCCCCAATGTTGGCATCTTGAGGGCAAAGCCCTGTATCAGTTACCACTCTGACTATAAATGTTTTGATCTCCTTTTAGAGATTTGGAGATAAAGCTTGGAGAGGGGAACAGTGGCTTACGTGGTCACATAGCCAGTAAGGGTGAGAGCCCAGGTCTCTTTAATAGATCCACAGTCTAGTAAGGGGGATGAGACAATATCCTCAATATAAACCATTCGGTCTCAATAATGACAACAATGAATGTGACAAGGTCCGAAAGGAGTTATAGTAATGCTTCAAGGTTTGCAAAGTGCTTTATAAATATCTTCTCATCTGATCCTCACAACAACCCTGGGAAGTAGGTGCTATCATTATCTCCATTTTACAGTTGAGGAAACTGAGGTAGACAGAGGTTAAGTGGCACACCACTAGTAAATGCCTGAGGTTGGATTTGAACTCAGGTCTTCCTGACTCCAGGGTCAGTACTCTATGCACTATAGTGCCACCTAGTGGCCCCAGGGGCAGTGGGTAATCTTGGCCTTTCTAAATTTAAAGTCTTTCCCAGACCTCATTAGTCTAAGGCAACACCCATTCAATGACTAGGTGAGCAATGAGACAAAAGATGGCTGGCAGTTTACCATCACAAAAAAATGTCATGGATCACGGACCTGAAAAGGAGACCAAGATGGAGCGCTCTGATAGGTAGGAGGAAAATCAGGAGAGGAGAAGACAGTGTCCTGGAGAAGGTGGCCAACAGCCAAATGCCATGAAGAGGTCAGGGATGAGGCCTGAGGAAAGACCCTTGTAGCCACAAAGGGGTCACTGGGGACCCTGGAGAGGGTTTTGGTGAGTGATGGGAACAGAAGCCAGATTACCAGGTGTTGAGGAATGAGTGGGAGGTGAGAAAGGGGAATACCTGATGCTTTTGTGGGGCTTTAAAAAGTGCAATATTAGATATATGCTCTAATCTGAGCAAGTCCCTTGGGGACCTCTCTGGTCTCTGTGAAATGTGAACAATAATCCCTGCTTGGAGAAACTGAAACATAAGCCATATCCTAAGCTTTATTTTATTTTATTATATTATATATAAATTATATTATATTATATTATATTATATTATATTATATTATATTATATTATATTATATTATATTATATTATATTATGTTATTATGTTATGTTATGTTATGTTATGTTATGTTATATTATATTATATTATATTAATTTATTATATTATATTATATTTATTATATTATATTTTATTTTATTTGAGATTTCCCAAGAATAAAACCCTGGGGTGGAGGCAGTGAGCCCTATTGAGAAGCTGACCCTTTGAATTCAGAACTGAACCCCATCTGGGTGAGCCCAGTGGCCTGGGGAGGGGTGGGGCAAGGCCTTGTGGTGTCTCTAAATGTCAGGGGCTTTTCTGGGTTCTCCAGTGGGGCAAGGCAGTCACTACTTTCATATAGATCTATTCTAGAACCTTCAGAAACCTCCGGCTTTTCTCCTTATCCCTGTACTAATCACTTACCTGTCACATATGTGAAAATTGCATCCAAACCCTTCCTCCTATTGTCTTATCCTCCTCCTCCTCAGCCCTGCTTTGCTCTTTTCCCACATGGCCGTGTCCACTGATCCCACCATGCCTGCTGTAGCTGGGGTCCATGGTGATCAGATTCACCTTCACTGGCCTAGGCTGAGACGTGGCTCCCCCCAGCCGCCAATGGTCCTCCTCTCCACTGATGGCTCTACCTTCAGCCTCCTTCCCTCCTCCCTCCTGGCATTGGAGGGGCTGGTAAAACTCTGGGCTCCCCAATGCCCCTTCCATACTCTCCCTTTCTTACTTTCACTCTTCTCTGTGAGTCAGTCAGTAACTAACCATTAATTAAATACCTACTATGTGCCAGGAACCGTGCCAAGTGCTGGGGATATAAAGAAAGGTAATGACAATCCTTGCCCTTGGGAGCTCACAATCTGATGGGGAAGACAGCATGTAAATAACTATCTATAAACAAGACATACGCATGAGGAATTGGAAATAATCATCAGAGGAAAGGCACTAGAATTGAGAAGAATTGGGAAAGGCCTCATGTAGAGGGTGGGATTTTAGCTGGGATCTGAAGGAAGCCAGGAGGGAGAGATGGGGAGGGGGAACATTTCAAACACGGGGGGGGGCAGCCAGGGAAAGTACATGGAGTCTGCAGATGGAATGTCTTGTGGGAGGAACAGCAAAGAGGCCTGGATCAGTGGATTGGGGAGATAAAGGGGGGATGAGAAGAGAGGGGGAAGAGAGAGGTGGGAAAGAAAGGGGAGAGAGAAACTATATAGAGGATAAGAAGATAGACGGATAGGTGGGTAGATGAATGTGTGTGTGTATATATATGGATGTGTATATATACGGGGAGAAAGAGAGAGAGTTAGAGATGGATAATAGATACATAGAGAGAGGGGTGGATGGATGAGTGTGTGTGTGTGTGTGTGTGTGTGTGTGTATAAGGTGTAAGAAGACTGGAAAGGGGGGAGGAGCCAAGTTGTAAAGGGGAGCTTTGAAGGCCAAACAGGGTTTTCCCTTCTGTCCTAGAGGTCATAGGGAAGTCTACTGATGTCATCAGACCTGGGCTTCCTTTTCTCCTCAGTCCAGCTCTTGGCAGCTGGGGTGTCCTGGCCCCTGCGTCATTTGACCTCCTCTTTCAAGGGGTCCAGCACCTTTTCTTTCCCTCTTCCTCAAGTCCTGAACTCCTCAAAAGACATGGTGGTTCAAATCTTGGGCCTGCCATGGACCTCTTGGGTCACCTCTGGAGGGAAGTTAGATTAAATCAGGGGATTGGATCTGATGACCTCTGTGGTCCCTTCATAATGAGTCAGTCACCAAACATTGATTCTGTGCCCAGCACTGTGCTAGGTGCTGAGGGTACAAAGAAAGACAAAGCCACCCTCCTAACCCCCCCAGGAGTCAGTCTGATGGAGGAGATGGCTTCCAGTGTTTTCTATATGTATTGTACAGACTTACATGAGTGTGTGTTAATTTGCCCAAACAGAATATAAATCCTCGAGGGCTTTTACAACTTAGCCCGGTGCTAGGCACAGAGGAGGCATTGAATACATTTTTTTGTTAAAAGATTGCTTGAGGGGGTGGTACTGGACAGGCAGGATGGTGGTCCACAGCTGTGCTGTTTGCCTGCTCTGTGACTTTGCAGAAGCGCCTTCCCTTGCCTCACCTGAAATAACTCAGTGGCCTAGATGACCCAGAACGCCCCCTCCAGCTTGTCTGGTTTTCAGCTGGCCAGTTCTGCATGGCTGTAGCCCCGGTCCAGACACACACACACAGGGTGATTAGAAGAATTCAGCAAGATTAGACTTGAGGAGAGAAGGGTGCTTTCTACCAGGTGGCTTCTGAATTCTCCCTTGGGCAGCAGACCCTGGTCACCCACAGTTGCTCCTCTCTCCTTGGCCTAGGCTGACCTCAGGGTAGTTGCGGAGAACAGTGACCTCCTTCTTCTTTGGCTCTTATTGGCTCATAGAACCCTAGGGGACAGAACGTCCTGCCAGGCTGGTCCCTGGCCAGTGTCCTGGGCCAGAAGCCTCCTGCCTCCCCATCTCTCCCTTCCCCCCAAAGGTCTCTCTACTGCCTGTGGGTGCTGGGGCAGAAGAAATGGTGTAGAGCCAAAAAGCCCCCTCACTGGGAGAAGGGAAGGGGTTGAGTTCAAAGATCTGGGTTTTAGTCCTAATTAATTATAATAACTGGGGTTGTTCCAACTAGATATTTTGTGATTCAGTGAATAATAATAATAACTGGATCTCAGTTTTTTGTAAAGAGCTTTGCAAACGTTATCTCATCAGAAGTGCGTAATGACCTTGTTTTTATCCCCATTTTACAGAGTATGAAACTGAGGGAGGAGGGAGAAGTGACTTACCTGGAGTCACCAAAGGGTCCCTGTGGCATATTTGGATGGGGGCTTCTGCCTGCCAGGCCAGTGAGCCGACCAGCCCCTGAACTGCCTGCTTTGGGGTGAGCACTAGAGCAAGAGGGCCTTCCACAGCCCTCACCCCGGTCCAGAAGAGCAACTGTACTAAAATTTCATTGTGGGCATTCATTTGTTTTAAAATAAAATTTGGAGACACTGTTTGCTTTGACATCCCTGATGCTTTTCACTGTGTGTGCCTCCCTTCCTCTTGCCCCTCCCAGGAAGTCGTCCCTTATAATTACAGACTTACAGGTTTAGAAAGTAGTTTATGTTCATTATCTCATTTGACTTTAAAACAAAGAATAAAAAGAAGGGAAGAAAGTGGTTCAATAAAACTAACCAATATATTGAAAAAATCTGGGTTTGTATGCCATGTCCCAGATCTGTAGTCCCCCACCTCTGCCAAAAACAGGAGGAGGGAGTTTCTTCTTTGTGCTTTCCTCTAGAAAGCCTTTCCAGAGAGGTTGTGCAAGTGCTATTGTGCCATTTTACAGTTTGGGAAACCGAGGCCTGGAGGGGTGAAGTGACTTGCCCACTGTCACCCAGCTAGGAAGTTTCAGAGTCAGGCCTCCAAGCAGCAATTCTGACTCAGATTCTAGGGCTCTTATTTCAGCTCCTGACTCCAGACATGTTTGAAACCTCCCCTCCCACCTTCTTCCTGGGAGAGTTCCCTGCCCACAGGAAGACAGGTTAGAGCCTCCCCAGAGGGAGGGGCCAGGCTGTCCTGGGTGACCCGGACACCTGGGTGAGCCTTTGATCAGGGGGGCGGAGAGGGGTCAGGCTAGCTGAGGCCCCTCCCAAAGGCAGAAGGCAGCCGCCCGATGTTGGGCTGGGACTTTGCTGTGGGCTGGCTCTGGAGTGGGGACTCCGGGCCTGCATCCTGGCCTTCTCCAGATTGGTGAGCTCAGGAGTGGCAGCACCAGGTGGGTTAGAAGGTGACTTTGTCTTCACACCTGCGCTCAGACTTCCCTGCTGTTCTTGAAGCCTGTCAAGGGCATTTCTGAAGGGGCCCCGGCTCAGTGGAAAGAGGCCTGGGCTGGGAGCCAGGGATGAGGGTTTAAATTTCAACCCTGCCGCTTATGACTGGGGTGACCTTGCACAAGTGACTGGAACTCTCACAGTCTCAGTTTCCTCATCTGGAAAATGGGCTGGCCTTGATCATCTGTAAGGGCCTTTTCCAGCTCGAGTCCTGTGGTCGTGTGTGTGTGTGTGTGTGTGTGTGTGTGTGTGTGTGTGTGTGTGTGTGTGTCCTTCAGTTCCACCCCTGACCACTGTCAGACCAGTGATGAGGTGGGTCGGATGCTGCTAGTAATGGCACAGACAGACAGAGGGCTCTTAGCATCCACTTGCTCCTACACTTACACCTCCTCCAGGAAGTCTCCTCGGCTTGCTTCAGCTCTTAAGAGTGCATGGTCTAGTGGGCAGGGCCCTGGACTTGGAGTCAGGATGAGCTGGGTTCAAATCTTGCTAGCAGTGTGACCCTGGTGAGCTCATTCACCTTTTTATGCCTGAATTTCCTCATCTGTAAAATGAAGGGGATTGGGCCGGACTGTCTTTAAGGTCCCCCTCCTGCTGTATCTCAACCACTTCTTCCTATATCCAGGACTAGTCAGGACTGCCCAACCTGCTAATTAATTTTGTGTTACCTCAGATTGGGGCTCGCAATCCTTTCTAGACTTGCTAACTTGGTCTCCTGGGCTGGACTGTAAATTCCTCAAGGGGAGGGCCCTGTCTTCAGCTTTGGGTGAAACACCACCCTGTTGGGTTTAGGATGTGGCGGGGTGGAGGGACAAGGGGGTGGGGTGGGGATGAGGTGGGAGGGGAAGGGGTGGGGGTGGGGTGGGAGGGGGAGGTGGGTGGGTTAGGAGGGGGAGAGGGTGCGGGGTGGTAGGAGGCAGAGGTGGGAGGTGGGGGTCGGGGTGCGGTGGGGGGGGGTCCCAACAGAGCACTCTATGTTCTAAGGTCCTTACATGTCCCTGAGGTTCTTTGTCCTCTTTCCCAGTGTCAGCCACACAAGGGACCTTAGAACGTGGTTTTCTGAAAGGAAGCTTAGCATGTGGTCTGCCAGAACTAGAAAGAATGCTAGGACATAGAACATGCATGCAGAATGTTAGAGACAGAAGGCACCTAACACTGAGAAGGGTTGTATTCTGGAGTCAGATGTGGACTCAAATCCTGACCCTGTCACTCACTGCCTGCGTGAGGTGGCTAGGTGTCACGGCGAATAGAGTACTGGGCTTGGCGGCTTGAGTTCAAATCTGGGCTGAGACACTTGCTAATTGTATGACCTTGGGCTAGTCACTTAACCACTGTCGGCCTCAGTTTCTTCAGCTGTAAAATGGGGAGCATAATAGCACCTACCTCTCGGGGTTGTCATGGGGCTTAAATGAGGTAACATTTGTGAGGTGCTTAGCACAGCACTCGGCACACAGTAGGTGTTTAGTTACCTCCCTCTCCTTTCTATGCGACCTTGGTCTCTCCAGGCCTCAGTTTCCTCGGGGGCCTCTAAGATGCCAGCTTTGCTCTAACTCTGTGGTCCTATGATCCTGCATCCAGCACTCCCATCTTACAGAGGAGGACGTGTGGGCCCAGAGAGGGGAAGGATCTTTCCCAAGGGTCAAAGAACTGAGGCTCAGATCCAGGACCCTGCTTTAGTGATGAGCTGGGACTTCCAGAGATGAGCATGTCCCGACCAGGTGCAGTGGTTTCTTGCAGAGAGGAAAGAGGTGGAGCCTGGCTTGCAGCCCAGGGAGGTTTCCAGGCTGGATGGCATGGATGGTATTCTGATCGGAGGTTGCTCAGGGTGGCAGGGATCTGGGGCAGGTGCTGGGGAGCGGAGGGCCTGACAAGGCAGGCAAGGAGGGGCCCTGCGCCCAGCCCCTGAAGCTCTCCCTTGCCTCTACGTACCCCTTTGTGGCTGCTGCTGTAGTTTCCACCTGGGCAGGAAATCAAAGAGTTGGCCAACTTTCTTTCCTCTGCTGACAGCTTGTGATCTCAGAAGGCTGAGGGAGCTCTGGGGGCTGTGGAAATGTACCCAGTTCTTGGGGACTCAGAAAGGTAGAATGGCTTGGCCTTCCTTTCTCTTTCTTTCTTTCCCCCCCTCTCCTCTTTTTCTTTCTTCCTTCTTTCCCTTTCTCTCTCTTCTCTCTTCTTTCATCTCTACTTTCTTTTTTTCTTTGTCTCTCTCACCTCTTTCCTTTCCTCCTCTCCTCTCTCCTTTTCTGCCTCCACTCTCTCTTCTTTGCCTTCTCTTTCTCTCCTGTCCTCCTTTCTCTGTCTTTCTCTTTTCTCTTCCCCTCTCTTATTCCCATTTCCCTTCTCTCCCTTTCCCCTTCTTTTCTTTCTGTGGTGGTACTTTCCTTCCTTCCTTTTCTCCCCATGTGTGTCTCTCCTCTCCTTTCATTCTCATCCCTCTCATTCTTTCTCTCCATCTCTGTTCTTTCCCCCCTTTTTCCTCTCCTGTGAACCTTCTCATCCTCCTAGCAGGTTCTCCTTCCCACCTTGTGGGTTATTAGCCCCAGAACAGAGCCTGTAATGATGACAAACGAGATATTTGACTTTTAAGGTGCTTTTTAAAAAAGCCCCTCCCCCAACCCCTGCTCCCCTGGCCCAGAACTGGGTCACTTGTGGGGTGATGGTGAGCGGGCTGCCATCTCGAGGTAATGCATCTGGTTGCCATGGGGACCCAGAGGCAGCATCCGTCAACAGCCTTAAAAATTTGACAGCTGAGTGAGACTGAAGATTTTTAATGAGGCCAGACACTTAGTTCCTTTCAGTCCCCTAATATTCTAAAAATACTCCATCCATCTTGTTAATATTTCCAGGGTCTCCAGGGTGTAAATTAATGTGGATAACTGAGGCATGGCCCTTGAGGGGTTTGACACCTGAGAGGCTTTGTCTGAGAGGGTGGTGCTGCCAGTGGGTGGGCTGGCGCACAACAGGGGCAGCAGCCTTAGCCCGGTGGCACGTGCCTGTCACCAGCCAAGTCTCCTGCCCCCCTCCCACTGAGCCAGGCCTGCCTTTCTTGGAGAGGAAGGAAGGAATCAGGGGAGAGGTGGAGAGAAAGGAGAGGGGAGAAGAGGAGGGAAGAGGGAGGGAGAGAAGAGGGGAGAAAGAAAAGGAAAAGGGGAGAAGGGAATGAGTGGAAGGGAAAGAAAAGGCAGAAAAAGAGGATGGGGGCAAAGGAGATCATTGTATTTAAGGTTAGAAGGAAAGGAAACTTAGAATTAATTTTATCCAACCCATCTTGTTTCATAGATGAGGAAACTGAGACCAGACAGGGAAAGTGACTTGGCCAGGGTCTGTAGTGAAGAGAAAAAAGTGAGTGGGGAGAGCTTATTCTAATTCCAAGGGGGGCTCTAGAAACTCGTTCCCACCTAAGGTTCCCTTCCACCCCAAAATCAAGGCCACCTCTCCTTTTACCATCCCCCCCCCTTCCCCTTCTGTTTCATTTCTCTGGTAGAGAAATGTCCTTAGGCATGGCCAATGAATTGGTTTGTTTTTTGATTTGTTTTGCTTAATGACTTCATTATGTACTTTTGATATCCTTCTATAGGGAAGAGGCCCCCTCCCCCAGACTGTAAGCTTGGGGAGGGCAGGAGATGTTTCACTTTGCCTGAGTCCCCTATGCTTACCAGGGTGCCTGGCCCACAGCAGGCACTTACCTGATGCTCAATCGGCTGTTACTGGGGATGGTTCTTTTGTGGGAAGAGGAGTCATTGGCAAGAAGGTGAAACGAGGAGAAGAGAGGGGAGAAGAATATGGATGAGGAGAGGGTAGAAAAGGGAGGAGAGAGAAGAATTTAGAAGAGAGAAATAGAGAGCTCTTATTAAGCCCTTTCTGTGCTGATGGGAGACATCGATCAATCGAAAGCATTTAATAAATGCTCCCCACGTGCCAAGCACTGTGCTATTCTCAAAAATAAAAAGGAATGAATCCCTGCCCTCAGGGAGCTCACCTTCTATTGGCAGAGACAACAAATTCATATCTAAGTATGTAGAGAAAAAATAGAGCACAAGCATTTGGTAAGCCCCACGTGCACCAGACACTACGTTAAGCAGTAAGGACACAAAGGAAGAAAAAACCCCACCCAACTCCCAGAGCTCCTGCCCTCAAGGAGCTCACGTTCTAATTAGGGAGACAAAATTCAAACCACCAAGTGCAGACAAAAGAGAACTTGATAACAAGACGTAACGACAGAGTTGTAAGATAATAATAATAAGTAATACTAATAATTAATATAAGTATATAATCAATCAATAGAATTAATAAGTATTAATATTACTAATAATCATATTAACATCACTAATAATTAATATAAGCACAATATTAATATAATTATAATTACCAATATCACCACTAACTATAGCAATAACACTAATAATTAACATAAGTATATTAATGTAATTATTAATATCGCTGACAATTATATTAATATTGCTAATGATTAATATGAGTATACTGTTAATATAAGTAATAACATAATATATTAGAATATAAACTAATCATCATACAATATATAATCTAATAATAAGACTAACATAAAACGAGATTAATACAACTAATGCTGCTAATCATAAGCTATACCTACAGAGAGGGTAGAAGGGGACTTCAGAGGGAGGGCACTTACTGGGGGCTACACCTGTGGCTTCAGTGAGGTACAAAACTTCCTGATGAAGGTCCTTCCTCTCTCCAATGCAGGATAATGCCTTTTCTGCAGATTTTTTAGAAAGAGGTTCTTAGAGCCCATGAGAAGCTGTGAGTTGCCCAGGGTCTCACAGCCAGTGTCAGCCAGAGGTGGGATTTGAATCTGGGTCTTCTGGCCACAAATTTCCCCCACTCCCACCTCACCCCCACCCCAGCCCATCCTTCACTCAGCTGTCAAAGCATCTTGCTAAATTGTGGGTGTGACCCTGCCACTCCCCAGCTCAGTAGTCCTCAATGGCTCCCTGTCGCCCCCAGGATTAAATCTAGAACCCCATACTTGGAGTTCACATACTCCTTGCTCCCTCCACTTACTCTTCCACTCAGCCTCCTTGTTCCTGGTGTGTCCCTTCCCCTTCCAGCTCTGGCATTTTCCTTGACTGTCCCTCCTCATCTCTGCCTCCAGGCTTCCCTGGCTTCCTTCAAGCCCTAATTAAGATCACTTCTCCTACCCAAGGCCTTCCCCAGTCTCTAATTCTAGTGCCTTCCCCTGCGATTATTGTCCAGGGTTATTTGCATGTTGTCTCCCCCCTTAGATGGTGACATCCTTGACAGCAGGGACTGGCTTTTGCCTGGATCCACAGCTCTTAACCCAGTGCCTGGCACATAGCAGATGCCAAATAGATGTTTATTGACTGACTCTGGTACCAACTCTCCACCAAAATAAGTTAAGTTGAGATAACACAGTTTCTGCCTTCCTAGAGAGCAGAGTAGGGGTGGGGTAGCTGGAAGGGAGGGCGGAGAGCCCTTCCCTCCCCTTCCCCCCACCTTGGCCCTGCCCCTCCACCCCAACTTGACTTTCTAGAATGGAGATAGTAGTAGCTGACATTGAGTAGCACCTTAAGGTTTACAAAGCACTCAATATCCATTATCTCATTGGATCAAATGAAATCTCGTATGTAAAACACTTCAAGGTTTACAAAGAGGCTTTATAAATCATCATTATTGATATCATTGTTATTAGTACATTGAATTGAATTGGATCAGGCAGGGCAGGGAGGATTGTGTCCATGTCTTTTTTTAAAAAATGTTCTTTATTTTTCAAGTATCAAATATTTTAAAAATTAATCAATATCTCCCACATCTTTCCTTAAGGAAATTAAATTAAATTTTAAAAAGCCCCAAATCAAATCTCTCCATACATAGCTGTGTACAAATTCCCACATTAGCTACGTCCTTTTTCTGCATCTCAAGTTCATTGCCTCTTTGTCAGGAGGTGAGAGGCACATTCCATTTTCATTCTTTTGTGCGTGCTCGTGGTTTCTCATTTTGTTGATCAGAGATCTAAAGTCTTTTTAAGTTGTTTTTCTCTAAAATATTGTTGTTTTGGCCATTTCAGTCCGACTCTTTGTGACTTCATTTTGGGTTTTCTTGGCAAAAATACTGGAGTGATTTGCCATTTCCCTCTCTGGCTCATTTTACAGTTGAGGAAACTGAGGCAAACAGGATTAAGTGACTTGCTAATGGTTACCCAGCTGGTAAGTGTCTGAGGCTGGATTTGAATTCAGGAAGATGAGTATTGTTCTCTGTGCACTATGGCGCCACCTAGCCGCCAAATGTTGTTATCACGGTATACATTGCTCTCTGGGTTCTGCTCACTTCACTCTGCATCGGTTCATGGAGGTCTTCCTAGTTTCCTCTGAAATTGCCCATTTCTTCATTTTTTATGGAACAATAATATTCCGTCACATTTATATACCTTAATTTGCTCAGCTATTTCCCAATAGGAGGACAGCCCCTCAGTTTCCAATTTTTTGGCAACTTTGAAAAGAGTTGCTGTAAACATTTTTTGTACATACGGGTCCTTTTCCTGTTTCTCGGATCTATTTGGACTATGTAGTGGTATCTCTGTAATAGCATTAGTGGTAGTAGTAGGAGTAGGAGTAGGAGTAGTAGCAGCAGCAGCTGCAGCAGCAGTAGTAGTGGTAGTAGTAGTAATTACTGTTGTGTTACCTCTGGGTTAAAAGATGTGCATAGTTTGGTAACTTTCTGGGCAATTCCAAATTGTTTTCTGGCATTGTTCCCATTTTAAAGGCTATGAAACAGACTCAGATTTGCCCAGGGTCACTCAGTTAGTAATTGTCAGATCCCATCCCTAGGTAGCTAGGTGGATAAAGCACAGGACCTGGAGTCAGGAAGGCCTGAGTCCAAACCCAGTCTTAGATGCTGATTAGCTGTATGACCCTGGGCAAGTCACTTAATCCCTGTCTGCTTCAGTTTCCTCAACTGTAAAATGGGGATTAATAAGAGAAATATCAAAAGAGTTCATATTTGTAAAGTACTTAATGCAGTGCCTGGCACCCAGTGGACACTGTATAAATGCTAGCTGGCTATTCTCCTACGTTGTCTAACCTCAAATCTGGTACTCTTTCTAGTCTACCCTGTATGCCGGGATTGGGGTTTATACCTAGTGCAGGGCAAACAGGACTTTGCTCTTGGGTGTGGACATGGGAAGGGAAATAATTCCCAGACTTGCTTTGAGCTTCTGGGCTCATTGCTAGGATGCTCTTTCCCTCCCCCTCCTCCCATGCCACCATGTACCTGCTAACTGTTCTCTCTGCCTCCCCCACCTCCCCCCCAGTGGAATTTGCCTCAGGTACAAGAATTCCCAGGTGGGGCTCTGGGGAAGGCCTTGTTCTCTTTTTTTGCTGGGACTCCAAAGTCTTGAGCCCAGCCAGTACCTGCTGGCTTAGCCAACAGTGGAGATCCCAGCCCTCCCCAGACATTGACCTGTCACATTCACTGATGGCTCATCCACTGAGCACATCTGGTCCAAGATGAATGAAGTCCAAAGTCCCAGGGTGGGGCACAGCTGGAAATCAAAGGTGACTTCCAGAGAGAAATAGAGTCAGAGAAAGACAAAGAGAGACAGAGAGAGAGAAAGGAGGGAGAGAGACAGAGAAAGAGAGAGAGAGAAAGAAGGAGAAAGACAGAGTCAGAGAGAGAGAGAGAGAGAAAGGCAGAGAGAAAGCAAAAGAGAGAGAGAATCAGAGAGAGAAAGAAAGAGGGAGAGAAAGAGACAGAGAGAAAGAGGGAGAGAGAGATAGAGAGAGAAAGAGGGAGAAAGAGTCAGAGACAGAGAGAAAGCAAAAGAGAGAGAGAATCAGAGAGAGACAGATACAGAGAGAGAAAGAAAGAGGGAGAGAAAGAGAGAGAGAGAGAGAGAGAGGAAGAGAGGGAGAGGTGGTAGCTGTAGCCCATTTGGAGAGCTCCAAGTTGGAGAGAAGAATGCATATTAACTCTTCTCCTCCTGGGAAGAGTATTGGGGGGATCCCTTTCATGCCCCCAGTTAGTTAATATAGGACATTGGTAAGAAAGAACCTCCTGGAGGGCATGGGGAGTCGCTGAGCTGCCTGAGTAGGGGAGTGATGTCCATGGTTCATGGTTAGGAGGCTAAGTTTGGTTGCTAGATGTAGGGACTGGGCTAAAAGTCAAGTGCCCTGGGTCCTTGGCCCACCAGTGGCCCTAACTGCCATTGCAACCTTGGCTGAGAGAAGTGTCCATAGGTTAACTTCCAATGGGGGCCGTGTTTGCCCTGAAAACCAGGGGGAGCTTGGTCCTTTGTGCTGCTGGGGTTACTTTAGGTCAGGGACTGGGGGACAGCTTGGACTTGGAACCAAGAGAAGCAGATGTTTCTCAGATTTCATTGATGGATTTCTCTTATCTCTTTTAGAGACAGTTCCCTTCAGGTAACTGCTGTGGGTCCTAGGGTTTGAGCTGGAAATGATCTTAGGGGACATAAGGGGCTCAACAAGAGAGGCTCAACTATTTGTTCAAGGTCAAACAGTCAGTCAACAAACATTTATTAAGCACCTACCAGGTGCCAGGCACTGTGCTAACCACTGGGAATACAAAAAAAAAAAGGCACCAAAGACAGTCCCTGCCCTCAAAGAGCTTACAATCTAAGACAATAGTCAAGCAAATATATACAAAGCAAGCTATATAGAGGGTAAATAGGAAATGAATAAGAGAGGGAAGGCACTGGAGTTAAGAAGAGGCTGTAAAAACTTCCTGTAGATGTGGGATTTGAGTTGGGACTTACAAGAAGCCAGGGAACTTGGTGTCAGGAGGACCCGAGTTCAAATCCAGCCTCAGACACTTGACACTTACTAGCTGTGTGACCCTGGGCAGGTCACTTAACCCCTATTGCCTCACCAAAAAAAAAAAAAAAGAAAAAAGAAAAGAAGAAGAGGCCAGGGAAGCCAGCAGGTAGAGAGGAAGAAGGAGAGTGGTCTGGGAGGAGGGGATAGTGCCTGGAGCTGAGAGATGGAGGGTCTGGTGTGTAGAGCAGCCGAGAGGCCAGGGTCACTGGATGGAAGAGCACGTGGTGGGGAGTGGGCGTAAGAAGACTGGAAAGGCAGGAGGTTATGAAGGATTTTGAATGTTGCATGGAGGGCTTTGCGTTTGATCCTGGAGGCTACAGGGAACATTGCAGCTTATTGAGTAGGGAGGTGACATGGTTGTGGTGACGAGGTATAGTCATGTCTGACCCTCCAAAATACTGGAGTGGTCTGCCACGTCCTTCTCCAGCTCCCATGTTCCAGGTGAGGAAACTGAGGCAAACAGGGTCAAGTGAGTGTCTGAGGCTGGATTTGAACTCAGGAGGATGAAACTTTCTGATTCCAAGCCCAGTGACAGGGTCAGACCTGGGATTTTGGAAGATCACTTTGGTGGCTGAATAGAGTATGGGTTGGAGTGAGTGAAAAGAGGCTCGAGGTAGGCAGACCTATCAGGGGAGATTGGGTATCAGCAGAGAGGTTAGGCAAGGAGAGATGGCTTTGAGAACTGTCAGCACAGAGATGGTAATTAAATCTGTGGAAGCTGCTGAGATCACTAAGTGATCACCAAGTATAGAAGGGGAAGAGAAAAGGGCCCAGGACAGAATCCTGTGGGACACCAGAGGGGATCATCTGGATAAGGAGACTGAGGAGGAGCGGTCAGAGAGGGAGGAGGAGAACCAGGAGAGGCAGTGTCCTGAAAACCTAGAGAGAATAAGCATCAGAGACGAGAGAGTGATCAATAGTGCCAGAGGCTGCAGAGAGGTCAAGGAGAAGGAGGACTGAGACAAGGCCACAGGCTGGAATGTGAATCCTCTGCTCTGGGGGGTGGGCAGTGGTCATGAGCTACAGGGCACCGTTGGCTCCATCGAGCCGCTCTCCTGCTTTCTAGATTCGCTGTCTAATCCCCCTTGCCCCCTCCTCCCCATGACAATGTTCTCTGTTAGATTTAATTGGATCATAGCTTAATTGATGTTACTGACATCTGAGTCTTGGTGAATTTGGGGAGGCACTCCCCACTCCCTGGGGCATCAATGCCTAGCATTTGCCTCCTCAGCAATGCCTGTGCTCTCTGGCCTATTCCTTGGAGGTGGTCAGTGGGGCTTACTCCTTCTCGTCTGTTCTGAGGGGGATCATTTCTTGACCTTGTCTTGGAATTCTGAGGGGTCCTGGAATGGAACAGAAACCCCTTGTGCACCAACTGGAGGGCTGGATAGAGT